GCTGAAGAAGGAACAGGACACCAGCGCCCACCTGGAGCGCATGAAGAAGAACATGGAGCAGACCATCAAGGACCTGCAGCACCGGCTGGACGAAGCCGAGCAGATCGCCCTCAAGGGTGGCAAGAAGCAGCTGCAGAAGTTGGAGGCCCGGGTCCGGGAGCTGGAGAACGAGCTGGAGGCTGAGCAGAAGCGCAATGCAGAGTCCGTGAAGGGCATGAGGAAGAGTGAGCGGCGCATCAAGGAGCTCACCTACCAGGTTGGGCAGGGCAGATCAAGCCCACCTCTAGGCTCAGAGACAGGGCTCTGCTGGGCTGGGCCACCGCTTATTAATGCCAGACACCACTTCTCACCAGCACCTCTAGATGCTCTCTGCAGTTTCCCGGACAGGTTCTGGAGGCAGTTCCTCTTGAGCCCAGGAATTTTTGCAGTAAATGGAGAACTCCTACTTCCCCAAAATGATTTCACTCAACATTTCCCCAGGTTTTTTAGTATTTCAGAGTAGTACAATAAAAGCTTCAGAATAATCCAAAGAATCCAGCCAGACACAAAAAGATGCCTTATGACACTTTAGGAGTCAGTCCATGAGAGAAAACAGAGGTCTTCTGTGGAATTACTGGGACAACTAAAGGAGGCCAGGGCCTTAGTGCACCATCTCAGAGTGTCTGAGAACTCCATCTGCACAGCTGACACTGGCCATTGACCTACTGCTTTCAATTTCTGGGAAGAGAACGCTTAAGGAGATGGGCAAATGGTCCATTTAAGGAGATTCAAGAGGCATAAGTTAAAGTTGCAGCCCTATTGTGAACAAAAGTGGCATCCTAGAGCGTTAAATGACGTGGAGATGGGAATGACCAAGGGTCATTGGAGACACTGAGTTTGCTGCCCAAAATCTGTCTCAGGAGAACATGTCAGAATAGTAGGCTTTGTCAATTAGAATAATCTAGACAATGATAACACCAGCTTTTCTTCTGCTTTCTTTACTATTCCTCTTCTGGTCACCTTAGAGCCACTGGCAGAAAGTACCCGTATTGCTGCAAGGGGAACTCTATCAGATGGAGGCCAGACAGGAACTATGCCTCCATGAAGAGTTCCCTGTGGCTCTGAGAACCTTACAGCATCCCAACACTCATCAGTTTGTGGGTCCCCGATTAAGATTCCCTTTGACCTACAAAGAGAGACAGCGGCCCTTGACAGCTGCTGCAGGGAAAAGCAGCTGAGGCCTGGGCAGATGAGGAGAATGAGGGAGGAGGAAATGAAGATCGTACTTGCTCCTCTCCCCCAAACTGGCTTTTCCCTCCCCTGACCTCCAGACAGAGGAGGACAAGAAGAACCTGATGCGGCTGCAGGACCTGGTGGACAAGCTGCAGCTGAAGGTGAAGGCGTACAAGCGCCAGGCTGAGGAGGCGGTGAGTTGATAGTTTTTCTCTCCCTATTTTATCAGCACACCTACGGTGAGTATCTGCACGTGGGGCCGAGACTAGGGTCTGCTCTAACCTTCAGCTCAGGCGTTTATTCTGCATGTGTATAGTCAGAGCTGTATTTAGTACCCCTGCGTCTGCCCACTGGTTGCTTGCAGTTCACATACTGGAAGACCAAGTGAGGGAGTAGGGACAGAACAGTGGCAGGTGCTGCTGGGGACAGGAGAGGGCCAAGAGTTAGACCTGGGACTGGAAGGGACCCTAACTAGACACAAAGCAAAACAGAAGAAATGTGGGTGGACAGAAATGTGTGGGTGTGGTGTTGATGAGCACAGCTGAGCAGAAAATCCCCAAGTCTGCAGGCATCTGTCTGTCTGAGGCTCAACTGGAATAGAAGTCGTGAATCTGGATTCTGAGGGGTTATGCCAGACAGGATGGGTTCATTCTGGGCAGTGAGTGGCCATGAGGGGTCTTAAGCACTATACAAGTTTGAGGAGGGTACCAAGCATGACATCCCTGGGAAGGCTGTTTCAGGAACTGGCTGAGGAGTGGCTTGGGGACAGGGACCATGAGAATCTGAGAATCCATTCCAGGGTTCTTCTCACCCCAGCCTCCCATCCCTTTGTCTGCCCATAGGAGGAGCAGGCCAACACCAACCTGTCCAAGTTCCGCAAGGTGCAGCACGAGCTGGATGAGGCAGAGGAGAGAGCTGACATCGCCGAGTCCCAGGTCAACAAGCTGCGGGCCAAGAGCCGTGACATTGGTGCCAAGGTGGGTTGTTCCCCCAAGATTGCTAGTCATGTTCTCACCAGGATGTCCCTGAATGTGTGTATCCCATATCATTTAGACATGTGGAAAATAGGTAATATGTACAACCTGAGGGTCCCAAAGACACCTAAACCTGAGAATCCATTCTCCTCTCAGCAGCCCTAGACCTGCATTCTAAGCGACAAGTACCCCTATCATGAGACTTCAAGATCCCTGAGGTTTATTCTCCCCTACTCCTGGACCAAAGGCATCTTCCTAAGCCACTGAAAGCTCTAGGGATTCCTCCCCAGACCATCTTGTCCATGGCTCTCACACCTCTTATTCCTTCCTCACAGAAAATGCACGATGAAGAATGATGCCGGCTGCAGGGCCTTGTTGTTAGCCCACAATAAACACGAATGCCTGATTCTACCTTCCCCTGTCCTTTCTACCAGCTGTTCATCTGAGGTGGGGATTTCAGTGGCCTAAGAGGAAGGTGGCCACCACCTCTGTATCAGTTATGGGATCAAAAGCACCCCATATCTGTGGAGGAAGGGACCAAAAGAAAGTGAGGTGTCCTGTCCCAGGTAGCACAGCTACAGACCCAGCTCTGCGTGGTCAATTGCCCAAGTAAAGAAAAGGGGAGAAACAGAAGTCAGGTGCGATGACCCAAGCCTAGAGTCTCAGCAGGGCATAGGAGATAGAGGCAAGAGGCAGCCTCAGCTCGAAAGCAATGTGAGACCTGCCTCAACAACAACAAAACAACAAGCCCTCAAAGAGTAGAAAGAACAAAGGCCCTGAAAGGGCAAGCCAGGCTCTAGAAAAGGGGGCCTGGAAATCTGGTGGGGAGGTAGAACCCCCTCAATCACTCCACCTCTGAGCTGGCAGAAATTGAAGTTGTCCTGGGCCATGCGTGCTTTGTAAAATGAACTTCCCACTGATGCCAAAGGGTCTCTATGCTGCTGAGGATGGAAGGAGATACTCAGGAAACCACTGAGGACCCACTCTCCTCGGCTCCATAGATGGAGCCCACAAGGCATATTTTCATGCCCCCAGTACCAATCCTAGCCTCTGTGAATCAGGCCTCACCAGGAGGACATTCTAGGATTCGAGTACCAGGTAATACTGAGCCCAAATCAGTATGGGGTATGGACCAAGCAGGAACAGTTCTCACTTGGCATCCCTTCACACAGACATACATAGGTGCATGTAACCCACATGCAACCCACATGTAACCCACAGCTGGGTGTGAGTCCAACCACCCCCTCCCACAAACACACACTATAAGCTCCTTGGAGGACTAGACACTCTGCCACTTGGGGGATAGAGCTGAGATCTGCCCTCTTATGAGAATTTGCACAAGGTCCTCCAGACCCTTTGCATCTTTTCCCCGACACTCTTCTCCCGGCTTCCCTAGCCCAGCCTTTTCTATCTCTCCTCTGAGACTATGCCCATCCCACCTCCATCCTCCTGACAGGGAAGCCAGGTAGACTCAAATGCAGACTATGTGGAAAGCCTGAGAACCCTGAGTAGAGTCCAGGCGGGTCCTTCCCTGGAGCAGCTGCCAGGCCTGGTGAGGTACCAGAACACAAAGATAGGAAGACAGGAAACAGGAGGCAGGGAAAATCTACTAAAGAGAAGTAAAGTCATTAGAGGGAAGCATGGCACTATACCACCCCCAAGTTCAAGATCCCAGGCACAGGCAACGTTTGAGGCCACTGTGTACAACCAAAAGGCCAAGCCTAGAGGGAAAAGGGCATTTCAGGAAAAGAACATAGCATTGAAGAGAGGGAGCAAGAAGTCAGCTGGAATGGAACCTCTTGTATGGACCATGATGGGTTCCTCCAGTTGCACAGAGAAGTACTGTCTATGCTAGACTATCGTGAACTAGGCAGTTCCTCCTTTCCAAGCCAATGTGTCCTTTCAGGCGCACCTGTTACCTCTAAATTTCTGGTGCCAAGCATAGGCTCCGCAGACAGGAAAGGCTCAGGAAATGTGTTTGGAGGAAGTGGCAAGCTGGGCAAGCTAGTCTACTGGCCAAGGGATGGCCCGTTTTCCTGTTTTCATATCCTCAGAACTCAAAACAGTATCTACATCAAGATTTCAATGTCAAGATGTTGTAGACCCAGCTCTTCTACAAATACAGAGGTCACTTTCCCCTAACTAAGCCCCAGTTTCCTCTAACATAGACCGAGGGCATGTGACCAGCTCTTATCTAAGAGCTTGCTTTCCTTTCAGATGCTGGTATTTCAGGAATTTTTCCTAAGGCCTTTGGCTGTCCTCTTCCTTATGTTCTGCCCGCCCAGCCCTCACCATACCACCAGGGGGAGCTCTACACAAACCCCAGGCAAAGGACCTTATACCCCATGCCTAACAGGTGTGCAGGCCTGTTAGCAATCAGGAAACTGTACGCGTCTCACTCCCAAGTAGCCTGGTACATAGCATTTTGGCACCTCCCTCTGATGTGCCAGGCTGAGGTATAAAGTTTTCCCTTTGACAGATGTCTTCCTCACTCCCTTACCCCACAGAGGGATCCTGGCTATCTGGATCACTCTTTCCTGTAGATCATGAATAACTCTTTGGTTTCCTTACTCTGTATGATTTTCAAGGAGGAAGAAGACTCACCACTGGGGTTTGAATCTTTTTTAATTTGGGCATGACTTGGAGGCACAGCGACCTACCCCCAACCCCCAAGAAGTTCACCATCTTTCACGGGTGCCCTGGTACTTCTCAAGCACACCTCTCTATAGATGTGGGATAGATGACTGCACTTGGGCGCTTCAGAGACTCAAAGATGACAAATCTGGGCTCTGTGGCTCCTGTGTGTGGTCGTGGGAGTCACGTAACCCTGGTGTCACTGCTGGTCCCCTGTAGAGATGCAGCCAGGAAGGGAAGCCATGCATAACTGCAGCATCTGAGGCAGAGGTAGGGACATCTCTCTCAGGGTATGGACACTCACCCTCGGTGGTCCTGGTCATCAACTCAGTTCGGTAGATCTTGAATGCATCATAGGCAAAGACAGAGACCAAAATGATGCCAAAAACCTGTGGCGGGGGGGGGGGGGGAGGAATGGGGGTACCATGGCAGAGGTTGTCAGAATAGGAGAGTAGGGCTGGGAATAAGCGGGGGAGTGGGGTGGGTGAGGTATGAGCAGATGCAGACTTTGGTTTGGACACAGGAAGTGTGCCAATATCCCAGCCACTAGTCCTAGGGACTGGGGATCACGGCAGGGATAGACTCACAAAAGCAGCAATGGCGGCTCCCTCCCTCGAGGTCACAGCAGCAAAGGAGACCACCAGGAAGATAATGATGGCACTGACACAGCGGAGGAAGTCCTGGGGAGTCAGAGGCAATGGGCTGGGGGGTCGCTAGGGAGGTTCCCAAGTTTCAGTTTCCCTAGTCTGATCCTCAGAGACTGAATCCTGCCCAGGGATGCATGCATCCCCACCCCCACCCCACCCCCATACATGAAATTCTTCCAAGGGAGTGAGCTCACAACACTACCCAGAGAGTAGGAGCAGATAAATCTGGATTAGCCAGGAGGCTGAGGAGATAGCACAGAGCAGGACTGAGCGAGGCCTTTGCTGTGTGGGACAGCAGGCCTCGGGTCTGTCTGTCTCCTTGATAGGGGCACTCCAATGGGCCAAGGTTCACTTTTGAGCTTAGGACACAACGTGAGCCAACTCACAGCTTGGTTGTAGAAATGAAGAGGGGCCGTGAGACAACAAGAAAATTGGACAATGGAAGAGAAGGAAGAGCCCAGGATGGAGTAGGGGAGGCAGTGTTCCTCACCAGGCAAGGCCAGTTAAGCCTATCGAAACGCTGGTGGTACTGGGTGGCATAGAGGAAGAGGAAGGCGAGCGTGATGAAGAACTCTAGCAGCGCTGCAGCCATGTAGGCGGAAATGGAGGCCGTGAAGCAAATGAAGATGATGAAGGTCAGAGCCTGTAGGACCAAGGATAGTTTCTGAGGAGACCCGTGCATAGATCAGCCTCACTGAGAAGGAAGAGTTCTCAGTGAAGACAAAGAAGTGTCCCATCCCTGGTGTCAAGGACCATCAAGGGCATCTCCAGGATCCTGCTCCTGCTGTCCCAGGAGTTACAGCAACTCTGGTTGTTTGGTCAATCTGCAAATCCCCAAGGGAGTGCCCTGGAGCACAGAACACTGATGCAAGCACTTCTGCCTTCAAAAGCTACTCCAGACTGTTAAAACTCAGATGACAAGACTCAGAGCCTTTGATTCATGTTGAGAGAGGCTTAGAAGGCAGAAGTCTGCTGCACATGGGATGGCAGATAGGAAAGGCCCTGTGTTAGCACCATGATCTTGCTGAGAAACCCTGAGAAGGGATGATCATGGGACACAACTGACAGGTAAAGCATGGCTGCAGGAACTCTACTATTTTGGATGCTTAAACTTATACATGCTAAGAAGTAGCCCTCCTAGAAGCTGGAGGAAGACAGATGAACCTCCTTCCCGGCCATCCTCTCCCCACACCCACCCATCCACATCTCATCCCTCAGCATCCTGGAAAGTCATCTTTCCATGTAACTTCAGTCTTGCAGCAAATGATACATGCCCTAACTGTCTGGAGGGACAAACAGCCAGAAGGCTAAGAGTTGTAGGTGAGCCTGGGAGTGGAAGGACAGAGCGCTGGGAAGGGGCCTGTGAAGGGTGAGCAGAAGGCCAGCAGAGGCCTGTGCCAGGGAGCTGGGATGGGAGAGATGGAGGCACCAGATTGGGGAGGCGGCTGTTACCAGCTCAGTTTCCAGCAGGATGCCTTTGAGGGAAGACAGGAAGGTCTTGTCCACACCGAAGCCCTGAAGCCCTGCGGCTGCTCCTTCCTCGGGTGGCCGCTCCCGGCGATCCCAAGCACTGAACATGTCTTGATGTTCACAGGGCACAGACTCTCCCTCACCAGACTCCTAACAGCCCGGGAAAGGAAAAGCGATCTGGTTAGGGGAGTAGACAGGAGGAAGACGGCACTTCAAGAGCCTGAAAGTGAAGCTGGAGCCTGCTGTGGGACTCTGGGAGAAGGCAGGACCCAGGGGAGGCTTGCCCAGATGGGCTTCACCCAGTGGCACAGAGTGCCTCTGCTCTTGCCTGCAGGGCCCCTAGGAGGGAGGGTGAGGGAGAGATGGTTAACCCTCCTCTTCTTCTAGCCTAACCCAAGCTGGAGAAGGAGAGAGGGAACAGGGAGAGGAAGAGATGGGAAAGAAACCAGAGAGGTTGGGGGGTGAGAGACAGAGGCAGAGCAAGGAGTTCCTCGGCAACCGAAGCTTGAAGACGTTTATGCCCCCTCCCATAACCCTAACCCTCTTCCTTGGCTGGGCCTTTCTGTCTTTTCCTTTAAGGGAGGTGGGAACTGGAGCCCAGCCCAGCCTGTACCCTGTTGGACCAAGCTGCAGCAGCCAGGACCAGAGGACAAAGAAGGATTGTTCCGGAGACAAGGGGGCGCTGTGCGCCTCTACTGCAGTGCCTCAATGGGCTTCTGTCTCTCCCCCATGTTGAGCTGTCTGACCCCCACCCTTATGTTCAGGATGGACCAGGGGAGGGGATGGATGTTTGCAATGGACACCCGGAAGAGTGGCAGAGCAGAGAAAGTGGTAGAAGAGGAGAAAGGACCCAGTTAGAGACTACAGGATGTTCAGGTACCAAAGATGCCAAAGAAAGATGAGACCATTTTTAAATACAGATATTTATTTGGATAAATCTCTTCACCTTCAATAACAGCTTTCTTTTCCTCAGAATTATTCACATCAAAGTAGTTGCGCCTGGCTGCCACAGAGTTGGTATTCCCCAAGCAAACAAAACAAAGGGCAAAGGGGCAAATATGGAGAAAGTGCCTGTGCTGGGCCGGGGAGTTCAGAGGGAAGGAGAGCCAGCAGTGTGGCTTCCAGGGAATGACAGGCCTTTGGAGACCTTTTCTGAGAGGGAATGCCAACACAGCATCTTCCAGCAGCCACAAACTGAAACTGCTCCTTCCCAAAAGTTCTTTCAAAAAGTGCAAAAGTCAGGGTTTCTCTCAAGTTCTCCATCCTGTCCCAGGACTCTGGTGCTTCAGGTAGGGCTCTGGAGGGCTTGAGCATGAGTGTCCTGGCCAGTGCGGCAAGGTGTCAGCCTCAGGAAAGTGGCAAGCGTGAGTAAGGCATTACACTGGGCCGCACACAAACACAAGCCAAGGAAACACGGTAGAGCCTGCGCTCCAGGCAGTAGCCATGATGGCAACCTTGCTGTCCGTGGCATGGCCGCCGGTAGAAGACGGTCTGGTTGTGGTAGAGTGGTACTGAGTTGCCCATTAGGCCCATGTGGGAGCCCTTCTGTAGGCTGACACAGTGTCGGCACAGACATCGTGCATGGTACAGATCCTGGGGGACCCGGTTCAAGTCCCTGTCCAACCTGTAGGGACAAAGCTGATCAGCTCTGGAGGAACAGGCCGGAAGCAGGCAGCAGATAGAGTGGAGAGAAGGGAAGAAATTGTGCATTTGTGGACTTGACTCCTTAAATCCATTCTGGCACGACATACGGTGTCACTTGGAATGCCATCTGCCCTCCTCTCTGAGATTTATTTCCTCCAACTACAGTACAGATAGGGGACAAAAGAGTAGCTTTCCTAGTGGCCCTGAATGCCAAGCCATAGCCACAATGACTTCTTTTAGAAGCAGAGGAAAGGGAGTAGCCTCCTGCCCACCTCCGCCACATCAACCCTGCACCTCTCTGATAGGCATGAGGCTTCTTATAAATTTTGTGGGGCCTTTAAAATTACCATTATTACAATACTAAAAACTGGTGTGAGCCCACTATGGTGGCACATGCCTGTAATACTGGCACTTGAGAGGCTGAGGCCAAGAGTGGCATGAGTTTGAAGCTAGCCTGTGTCAAATAGCAAGTTCTAGTCCAGCAGGGTTACTGAATGAGACCCTGCGTCACAAAACAAACAAACAAACAAAAACCCCCACAGGGGACATAGCCAACGCTGGCCATCTCCTTTCATTGGTCTCACTCCCAGGGAGAGCTGCTTCTTGTCTGCCCTTCCAGATACTGTTCAACATGTATTACAAGCACATTTAGGAGGTGAACAAGAATTTGCCCATTCAGCAACGATTTGTGGCAGCTAAAAGCAAAACCAGATCAAAACAAAAATTAAAAAAAAAAAAAACTACTGAAAAGAAGATACTGAAAATAAAGTATTGTGTCCAGTAACCTAGCAGGACCCCCCAATATGTTAGAGCCATTTCCCATACAAGCCCTGGGAAATTGGGGTCCAGCTACTTCAAGCGTTACCCTGGGGAGGTAGGGGGCTGGAGAGATGGCTCAGCAGTTAAGAACGCTGATTGTTCTTCCAGAGAACTGGTTTCAATTCCCAGTACCCACATGACAGCTCACAACTGTCTGTAACTCCAAGATCAGGCAAAGCATGCATCAGTGCACATAAAGTAAAAATAAATTAATTAAAAATGCCTTGTCTGTTTTTAAAACCTCTGCAATCAAAGTTTGGGGACAACTAATGGTCCCTTCTTGTAGCTTTCTTGCCAACTTTAATGGGTGGAGATCACTGTGAAGGGGTGGGGCTGTGTAGTCTCTCCAAAACTCACTTGACACCATCACTTTTTTTCTGAGACAGCTTGTGGAACAAGTGTTGTACAGAGCATACATTAGAGAAGCTCTGCTAAGTGGTTATCACTGTCTTTCAGAAAAGAAGATGGACTGAGTCCCCACCACCACCACCCACCACACATATAGATTTTCCAGGCAGCCTCTGAGACCACTCTGAAGTATTAGGAGCTGGGGTCTCAGCTGACCAGCTAGCTCCCTATACCAGGGAATATCTCTCACGCCCCTCAAAGGCCAGGCTACTGAGACACGTGGGGAGTGTGAGCACAGAACCCTAGGAAAATACAGAACTGCGGGAATGTGTTTAGGATCCCTAAGACCATGATTTGTAATACTTGTCTTCTCTGTCCTGATTTCATGTCACAGCACAAACAGAGAATTATAATGTTTATGTGTCAAACTGTGTAAAAGGCTAAGAGAACCACGATTTTGATTAAAGATAACAAGCCTAGAGATCTAGCCACACACCAGCCCCACGTGTGTCTGGCATAGGGGTGCTTTGTGTCTGCATCACATATTACGGCTTGATACTTTAGTTAGAAGAATATGAGTTATGGGACAGACCAAAAAAGAAATGGACTTTGCATAGATTGTTTTGTTTGTTCTATATATTGGCCTCTAAAATATAATCTAGAGGAAGGAAGGAAGCCGGCATGAACTTGGTAAGCATCACCCAACATAATGCAATGAGGCTCAAATTCAGGTCTGTGTAATTCCTAAACTTTTCCGGTCTGTATAGTTAAAAGAGGCTGGTAGGTCAAATTGGGTGGAACTTGCCGGGTCCCTCATACATCACCTGGAGGACACATGAATACATTCAGGAGGGGGATAGTAGACCAACTCACTCATAGCTCCAAGGAGAGATGGCCCTCCTGTTGAGGGGTCCATCCTTGCTGGCTTTGCAGGATTCTGAGGTGAGGCTCAGAGGTTCTGGGGGAGACACAGATGCAGCGCTCAATGTCGGCACCTCAAGGGAGTCTTGTTCTTTGCTGGGGCAGCAGCTGGGCCAGTGACCACAGTCATTCTGGACTTGTGAACTGATGGTGTGTCCCACAATCATAGCCAAGAATGCAGCAACCTGAAAGCAAAAGCCAGTGAGAAAAGCTTCTGCCAGGTCCCCATCCTACAGGAGCCTCCCTGGCGGCTCCCTGAGACCAGAGACCCGGAAGCTTAGCCCTCCTACACATTCAATGCCATCCTTGCTCCTGTCCCTCTTGGCCTGTCCTCCTCCAGACATTAGGGCCACTCACCTGGTACATGCCGGACACTGTTCACTTGGACACAGGTACTACCCTGCCTGACAGGCCTTCTGGAAGCAGGCTGACTGGATCAGTTGAGGTGTCCTGCTTTTATTTTCAGCAAACCTGTTTTGTTTATTCAAATTTATTTCCACTATCTTTTGGAGGGAGTGACCTAAGATTAAAAAAAAAAAAAAAAAAAAAAAAAAAAAAAAAAAAAAAAACCAACAACATAAAACCTGGAAGTGTTGCCAAAAGCTGTTTAAATGCTGCCCTCATGGAAGCTGTAACAGCCATCATTATCAGCCTGGCAGCCCATTGGGTAAAGTGTTCCTCGCACTTTCCGGGCGGGGGTCGTAGTATTACATTCTGCAATTCTGCCTCTGTCTCTGTGAATTGTCATGATGGGAATTTCCCTGGTTGGTTTACTACCTCAAATTAAAGAGTGTCATAGGTCTCCCTTCCAGGGACACCATTTCCGAGCCTTCTGCTACTCCTGAGTGGGCTCTGACCTCCAGCTGTCCCTCTTCTACTTGATGTCCCCTGTCTTTTTGCTGTTGCTGTTGTTGTTTTTCGAAACAGGTTTCCCTGTGTAACAGCTCTGGTTGTCCTGGCACTGGTTCTGTAGACCAGGCTGGCCTTGAACTCACGAGATCCTCCCGCCTCTGCCTCCTGAGTGCTGGGATGCTGCTGCCACCACCCCCAGCTCCCTCCTCTTTTTCATTTTGACCTCCATCCCCCTTGTTTGCTATGCCGTTCCCATCCCTGTCCCTAGGCTTTCCCTGACTCTTCCTGGGGTAAGGATGTGCCCCTCACCAGACAGGGTACCAGAAGCATATGCAGGAGTTTTCTGGTTGGGTGGGCAAGACAGACGGAACAGCTATGGCTGACTCCACACTGCACAAATGAGAAAGCAGATCATGGAGAAAAGAACACCGTGTTACCTAAGACCCAGCAGGAGGTCTCACCTTTGCTCACAGGACCCCAGGGACACACAGCAAGGACAACTGTCACTCTCGAGCCATAAGCGAGCCCACTCAGCCTGTGCACTTTCATCGGGTCCTATTAGCCAGGTGGGAGTATATGTACTTCAGAAAGACAGATTCCAAAGACACAGGTCAATCAAGACCCAGACTGCTGGGGAGGTCTGTGCAGACATCAGCCATCATTCATTCTTCCTGCAGGCCTTTCTCTGTCTGCCCAGGGACCTCTGCCCCACCCCAACACACTCACACACATTGTCTCTAGAATAATGTGTACTGATTTGCATGTGCTTTCCCTCAGAAAATACTCCTGAAGTAACCAAGGGATCAGAAAGTAAATAAAGGGAACCAAAAATAGTTAGTGTATAGCATCTTTCAGATGCAGTAGGACAAAACAGTCTCAAAGGAGAGGTGTCATGACAACGGAGGGCATTCTCAAGAGTTAGAAGAAACTGCTTTGATGACTCTTAGGGGCCTGGAAGAGTGGAAGGCACTGAGGAGAAACCATTAGTGGCCAGGGTTAGGACAATTGGGAAGAGCAATAAGGCCAGGAACACCTTCAGCTGATGCCCATGCCCACCCTTGCCTCAGTGCTCCTGGGTACCATCTCCCTGTAGATGCCGCTGGTCTTACTCCTGCGCACTTGAGTGTGGCAGACATGGTCCTGAACCCTAGGCACATCATCTTACTCTGTCCTGATAATAAAACTATGACATGAAAACTATAACCCTCATATTACAGATGAAGAAAGTGAGACCCAACAACATTCCATAATCTACCCAAGATTATGCAGTTAGAAAGGCTCTGGGCTGGTTTTCCACTCCAGCCCTCAATATGTCCGTACCTAAGCTCCTAGCATGAGCCAATCCTCAACCGGCTGTGGATGGACGGGGAGCCCCCACAGTCAGTGTGTCCCCGTTCACCTGGACTTGTGCTGGACATGTTTCATTTGCACCTACCCAAGACCACAGGGCATTCCTGCCTTCTTTGGCATTCAGCCCTGCTGGCTGGGATCCATTGTTCCAGCTTCCTGTTTCCCAGCCTTTTGTCTGGCACATGGCCTCAGGTGGCTTGTGGTGTTCCTTAGCAACCCCAAGCCCAGAATAGGGTCCTTTAGCTAGCTAGTAGTGCCTTTTCAAAGAGCAGAGCTCCTACAGGTCTCCCAACCACAACAGTAGGAAGCAGACCTTGGCCCGTGCTCAAGGGGGTGCTCTTAGGACTGAAAATGATCCTAGCTCCTTGTCTCAGCTGCTGACACTGCAGAATGGAACTGGCCTGGGTGACTGGGACAATGTTCTTCACAAGAGGTATTTGGGGCCTTTCCCTGTCTCTGTACCTCAGGCCAGAGGAAACCTCTGGAAGGAAGATGGGAGATCCCTCTAAGCAGATGGTCTTCCCCAGGAGTTGGCTTTCCCCATACCACAATGACCAAGCTGACCCATGAACCTAGTCTCTGAGCCACAGACCCTACCCCACCCTGCTTGCTCAGCCTCTGCCCTTATCTCATTAGTAGCTTTGTGGGACTCTTCAGGGTGACTCCCTACCATGAGAAACATTTTCCAGAGGGTTTCCTCCTGGGGTGACTAGTTTTGGAATCCCTGAGTCATCTCAGCTTCCAGGGAATCCTTGGGGTGTGGGGGTGGCAATGGGGAGAATCCTGGAGGTGGGAGCAAAGAAAAGTTGGACCAACATCTGACACTACGAGTACCCACCCAACATGGCCCTACTTGCCTGGGCCTGACCTGACCGACAAATAAGGCTGGAATTCCTACTCCCGTGACCCTGGGAAAAGAGGTCAGCACCTGCCAGGAAAGGGCAGGGAAAATGTGATGAGCTACATCTTCTATCCTTTGCTTGGAAAAGAAGAATACGACTACCCTATAGCTTATTACAAGGTATTCAAGCCTTTGCCTGCTGCCTTGGAATTTCGGTCTGTTCATGACCTTGGATGCTCCTCGTGCACATCCTTCCTCATTGGTAAGAGTGTATGTGGTAGAGTGGATGTGTTCCTGGGGGAAGGGTGTCATTGATGTGAGTGACCTTAGAGATGCCAAGATTAGCTGTCCTAGACCTAAGGCCCTAAGGCATCCACAGGATTGAGTTCATTTCCACTCACCTTATAAGAAGCTAGGGCACGGATTATTAGGATATTTTTTTTTTCACTTGGAAAATGTTAGCATTTAATTAACCTCCCTGGGTGGTTCAAGCCACCAGGACACAGGCACCTCCAACACCCTTTATCTTCTCTTCAGCTCTTCTGCTGAAAAATTTGGCTTTCACGATGACAGGTTGTTTAGGGAGCTTCCCCTTCCCCAGAACTTTGTAGTAGCCCGATCGCACAACATCAATGATGGGAGCAGCTCCAGTCTTGTTCTTGGCAGCATTGACCCTAGTCTGTTCACTGACCAGTGTCCACAACTTATCCAGGTTGACTGTTGGGCAGAAGCTCTGGTTCCTCTTTAAGTGGTAATGCCTCATACCAACTTTCCCAAAGTAACCTGGATGGTATTTGTCGAAGTTGATCCTGTGGTGATGCATGCCTCCAGCATTCCCGCTGCCTCCTGGGTGCTTGCGGTGTTTACCAATGCGACCGTGGCCATGGCTCACGTGGCCCCGGAGTTTCTGGGTCTTCCTCAGTCTGGATGGCATGGCGGCGGCAGAAAGGAAAGAGGGAGGAGCACGCAAAGTCTCGCGAGGTAGCAGCGGATTATTAGGATATTGACCTAAGGTGCTGCTCTTGACAATGGGGCATCCCCATCACACTCTTCCAGGGACCCAGCAACAGCAAAGATGGAAACCCCTGGATTAGTATTCCTGCATTCTGATTTGTAGTGATAATGCCCCTGGATGCTAACCATTTTGTTTGTTTGTTTTTCGAGACAAGGTTTCTCTGTGTAGCTTTGGAACCTGTCCTGGAACTCACTCACAGAGATCAGCCTGCCTCTGCCTCCTGAGTGCTGGGATTAAAGGCGTGTGCCACCAATGCCTGGCTGCTAATCATTTTTTAAAGGTTTATTGTTATTATTTTAATTATCTGCAGGTGAGGGGGTGGAGTATATGTACATGAATGCAAGTGCCCACAGAGGTCAGAGTGTGACATTTCCCTTGGAGCTGGGGGTTATAGGCAGTTCTAAGCTACCTGATGTAGGTGCTGGGAACTGAACTCAGGTCCTCAAGAAGAGCAGTGTGTACTCTTGGCCACTGAGCCATCTCTCCAGCCTGCTAATTATTTTTTAATACAATTGTTAACTACAAAACAATTAAGGTCAGGAGACTACCTTCAAGAAGAAGCCATTTTCTTCCGGGAGATACATGCAACGAGCAGATGAAGAATGCAAAGGCCCAGGAAAGACACTTTCCCAAGAATAACGCAATTGTCTTATAGTCATAGTTCCTGTGTTCAGTCATCCACTCTCCAAATATTTATTGACCATCTACTACACACCAGGCACTGACATTCTGAGTGTTAGAAATGAAAAGGAAGACAAGACAGACATGCCTCTTCCTCCTCAGGCTTACAGTGAAGGAGACAGGTGACAAACAAGGAAAAGGATAATTTTGGATTATAATAGAAAGCACAGTGAAGAAAAAGAAACAAAGCTATGTCAATGGAGGGCACAGAGCTGCTGTGGATCTGGGAGACTGGAGAGGATGGGAAGGCAACTCTAACTGGGAAGGATCCAGAGGAAGGCTAGCCTAACCAAAATCCTAGAAGTGGGTAAGGGTTTGACACATTTCAGACACAAATAGGACGATGTGAATGGAAATCGAGGGGTGAAGAGGAGAGTGGGTGGGATGGGGTGGTATCTGGGTGGGATAAGGAGGAAAGAAGATGTGGGCCCTCCTGGGAAGAGGGAAGAGACGGAAAGAAGACAGAGGTCTGAGAAGACAAAAAAAAAAAAAAAAAAAAAAAAAAAAGTTCTTTCTTAGCTACTCTTCTAATGTGGTCAGGGCAAACCTTGGCACAAGACTACACAAGGCTGCTCACTGCAAGGTACCAGCCCTGGGTTTTCTCCTCCACCAGCACCCTGAGGCCTAGTTTGAATACCCAAGCACCTTCAACCTTAAAGGAGAAGGAAGAAGAAAGTACAAGGATTCAGGGAAGGTTCCCACTAAGAACATCCTGGTCCTGGGTTTTTGTTTGTTTGTTTGTTTTTGGGTTTTGGTTTTGTTTTCCCAATTTTTCTGAGACAATTTTCCCAATTTCTCTGTGTAGCTCTGCAGCCTGTCCAGGCACTCGCTCTGTAGACCAGACTGGCTTTGAACTCACATAGATCCACTTGCCTCTGCCTCCCAAGCGCTGGGATTAAAAGCATGGACCACCACTGCCCATTGAACATCCAGACACCCTGTTTTAATGAAAGCACCATTGGAGGGAGGAGGAAAAGCAACATGCTGGGTACCTTCCATCTGTGTTCTCCTCACCAAAGCAAGGTGGAAAGAAAACTCAAAGATGGTCTGCGATTTGACCAAGATGACATAGCTAATAAGCCAGGACTCACTCCCAATACAGAAGCTACCCCTTACCTATATTCGTTCCTGAGGCACTGAGATTTCCATCTATCACTCAAAATGCTACATTGCTTAAACCATTCACATCCTTTCTGCTTAGTTTCTGCCTTGCATCTATTTTTCTGTGCTCCTTAGAGCACTTACATCTGGGGACCATCGTGTCCTGCCCACTTGCCCACTTTTGTTTTATACTGGTGACCCTGGGTAGACATCATACCCTGTCACTCCCCAGCAGTGTCAAGGTAGCCAAAGCCACATCATCTCCCCCAGGACTGGAGTCTGGAGGATGGTGACCACCTCCAGCCAATCTGGACCCGGGATAGAACTCTCGCTTCAGATGTATTTAGACACTTTAAAGTTCCTTTTCTTGTAATGAAGTCTGAGTATGTTCATTCTCCAGCCAGTGCATGAGGTCTGCACTCCAGCCCTACAGCAGAGCCCAGAACCATCCCCACTCATCGAGTCATCCTCTAAGTGCCAACTCTCCCCTCCGCAGAGGGTTTCAGGGGGTAAGTGGGGAAGGATCTGGAGCACACTCCCCTCAGGTGATCCTGGGAAATGTCTGTGGTACGCCTGTGGAACACTGTGATATGAGAGTGGCCTCAAAGCCACTAGTTCACAAAGATTTCAGATGTTCTCTCCTAAAGAGGTTACGACTAAGCTAGCTGTCTGGTTTGGGTTTCAAGCCTCCGTTTGTTAAACGTAAACACTGGAAATACACTACAGCTTTGCACCCGTTTAGCAGCTTGCTTTCCAAATACCAGGAACACCTCCCGTACCCCAATGGAAGAAGACAGGTCTCTCTCAGCCCTCTCAGTTCTAAAGTATATCTCCTCAAAGTACGGATCGGCGAAGAGGGGTGACTGGGGAGGCAGGCAGGAAGCGTTAAAAGGCCAAGAGCTCGAGTTCAGCTGAAACTCCCGATTCCAGGCCCTCTGAAAGAGCTCTGCCCTCTTCTTTCTGCCCACGGTCTCCACCCCAACTGCTCCAGTAGCAGCTGAGATCCAGCCAACCTGAAGAAGAGAAACAGGCCCAGACTGGCAAAGGAGGCTAAACAGGCGGCGCAACCGGCCAGCCTGCGATCTGGGGCTCAGGCTTCACGTCCTCTCTCAAGGGCCAGGATCTTTGTTCAACACCAGACTCCAAGTCAGTGTCCGGCTGGACCTCCCCGATCGCTCCCGCCGCCCCCTGCAAAGCCCGCACGGTGACAACGCCTGGACCCCGGCGCGGCGGAAGCCAGCGCGTTCCCTCCCTCGGGAAAAGACAGATGTGGGGCTAATGAAAGGGAGGCAGGGAGAGGCGTGGGGCTGGCGGGGGAGCGCGGGGGCGTGGCGGGCCGAGCCGAGCTCCCCCGAACGCGCAGACCAGACCACCCGCCGGTCGGCCGCGCTGGTCCGGAAGAAGAAGGTGCGGGGATAGAGGGGCCGGGCTGGGGCGCGCAGTTTGGCCCGAGGGTCGGGAGCTGAAACTCAACACCGCCTCGGAAAGGATCATCCCCTTTCTCCGCTGCTTCCCCTTCCCCCCCTTCTCTTAATCCCCTGGACTGAACCCCTCGCGAGAGGAGTGGGCCGAGGGGAGGAGAGAGAGCTCGCTGAGCGGGAGCGGGAGCCCGGGCCGGGGAGGGAAGGGGTGAGCGTGCCACGCGCGACCCCGGCCCTCTCCAGCCCTCAGTGTCCGACCCCAGGCGAGCGCACAGGACTGCTCCTCCCCTTCACTCTGTGCTCCCTTTGCTCTGTGGCCTTTTTCTTCGTTCCCCGAGACAACAGGAGCTTCCCTAAGCTTTGAGGGGCGCGCCGGGGGCCGGGTTCAGGGAGTGTGAGCGGGGACTGGGTGCCCGGGGCAAAGGGTGGCGTGCGCCCATGGGCGCTGAGACCCGAGGTGCCTGGCGGCCGCCTGGAAAACCCGGCAGTACTGAGAAGGCGTGTGGCCGGGAGAGCCCGGCTCGGCGCGGGCCTGGGCAGAAAGCCCGGCCCCACCGCCACGCGCTCTGAGGCCTCTGGCGCCGGCCTGCCTTTGCGCTCGCTGACTTGAGCGACTTTGGAGACACGCAGTTCAGTTCTCGCTCCTCCTCCCTCCTTCCCCGCGGGTCGTCCCGCCGCAGTGCCCCGGCCCCCGCGACCACAGCCCTGGGAGCACGGCTCTGCGCCGCTGGGGGAGGGTTGGCCCCAGGAGTCGTTCATCCAGCCCAACCACTCGGGCGGCTTCTCCCAGCCCTCGGGGCTAGCCTGAGCTGCCTGGAGAGGCGTCGAAAGCAGCAGCAGCTTCTGCCTCCTCGCCTCGCTGGCCTGGGACGTGAGCTTTGGGCCCATGTGTGTCCAGGAGGCCCCCGCAGCCTAAGGCCACAACCGTGGGGGCCTGGTGCCCCCCAGAGACCCTGGGGACAGTTTAGAGCGCGCCCCTTGGATGAGGTCCCGCAGCGACGCCCAGGCCCGCCCCATTCCTCCTCCTGCCTGGTCCAACTGCCTCCCATTTGGAAAGTTTTGTGGGTTTTCTTTCTCTTCCTCCAACTTTGGGGGAGGCAACTCCTCAAGAGCCACAGCTTGGGGTGACCTTCTGGCTTGGAGGCCATGAGGGGCAGCCATCGCTGAAGTCAGCGAAACTGAGCCTGGTCTGAAGCAGGCGACGCTGGAGGCTAGAGCCATGGCCATTGCCACGTCGGTGAGTCCAAGGAGAGGAGGCTTGCCAGGCAGAGACCTCCAACCTGCTCTATGGCACTGTTACGTTTATTTCTACCCGTTCTCTCTTCTCCCAGAAGCTGTGTCCTCTCTTTTGTTTCCTTTCTCCCTCTCCGTGTGCCTTCTGGGTCTGTGTTGGCCCCTCCTCCCCTCTCCCTGTTCTCTTCCTTTATAGTGGCTGTGGATAGATGGAGGAGAGGGGGGGAGTGTAACCCCAGTCCTATCTGTTCTTTTCTGGGTGGGAACAGATGGCCACTGATGGTTGGCAGGGGCTGTGATTGGGAGGTAAGTAAAAGGAGTTTTCTGGCAAAGACCAGACAGCCCACGGAAAATGGACGGCCAAGGAATCCAACTCTAGAGGGCTGGAAAAAACAGCCTATGGACAGGCCGGGGAAAATAATATAGAGGAGGGAAGATGATGTCAGCTTGCCTCGGGCCACTTTCTGGTAACTGGGGACAAAGGGAAGGGACAGTTAGCATGTTGGGATTGCAGGACGAGGCCTACCAGAAAATTTAGTGGCACACTGCCACCTAAGTAAGTCAGCCGTCCCTCACAAGTCAGTGAGGCCCAAGGAGGAGATAGAGTCAGTGATCACACCCACTATCCATCATTCTCTCAGCAGCTCTGGCCTGGGTTTAGGCAGACTGCAAAGCATGGGCCCCATTGGCTAGAATTCAAACCTAATACAGGGAGGAGCCTACAGCCCCACCTCTGCTCTGCCTTGGAGTCGGTATAACAAATCCAACCAAATCCATTCCTCCTCACACTTTTCCAGGCCTGCAGGAAGGCCAGCTGCCACCTGCTTTCTAGCACACTGGCGGTGGGGGAGGAATGCAAGGCACCCTCCCATTCCCCTAGAGGATGGTTCCAACGTTCATTCCTTAGACAAAACCTTTTAGTCCTTTGGTGGCTGGGTGCCTTTGGGAGTGCCAGAACTGCTGTCAGGATCCTGGAGTTACAGACACCTTTGAAGTCCAGAAGGTATATGGGGGACGGGTATTTGTGCTGACGAAACTCACAGGATCATAACAATAGTGATATTTATAATTTACTTTACACATCTGGCCCTGTGCTAAACTTTGCCATGATCCTTTGATGCATTGTCTCATGCAGATCTCAACATTATGAGGACATTTTATCATCCAGAAATAGGTATTTGGCTATAGATCAAAATTCTACACAGGAGGAAACTACAGTATAGTGATGTTTAAAACCATTTTAAGGCAACCAAGCAAGAAAGAGACTCAACCCCAAGTCCACCTGCACTTAGAACTTTGCCTTTAATCTCTGGCTAGGTCCAAAGTACTAATTTCTAGTTTTCAATTAGGAGAGATGTAGAGTACATGGCTAGGTTAGTAGAGCAATTTCTCCATAAATTAAGGACCCGAGCTTGATTACAGCACCCCAGCCATGGCAGGGGGGCCTACCTGTAATTCCAGCACTAGGTAGGCAGAGGTAAGAGGATCCCAGAGACTTTGTGACCAGCTAGCTAGTCTAGCTGAATCCCTGAGCTCCAGGTTCTGACTCTCAAAATAAAGTGGAGCGTGATTAAGGAAGAAACCACCATTAACCTCTGGCTTCCACATGCATGTGCACACACACGGAAGAGAGGGAGAGTACAGAGCCACCCAGCAGTCCAAGTTATCTGTTTAGTGTTTGTTTTCTTTTTGTAGATCTTTTAGAAGCTACGATATAATCAGAAATAATGTGGTGAGGACCAGGCCTGTAGCTCAGTGATGGAGCATTTGCCTGGCATGCAAAAGGGCCTAAGTTTGACCCCAGCACCCTGAGGAAGGAAGAAAGGGTGGGTGGTGTTTGGGAGCAAAAGAAAGGAGTGAAAGGGCTGGATGACTTGCCTTCTAACACAAAACCGGATCTAGAGGACCAGCATGCCTGTGAGTGAGCAGAGCATCCTTCTCTCCTGCAGTTCATCAGCATCCTGGTGCAGATGGAGATTAATAATGATGACTTTTTTTGTAGTATTAGAGATTGAACTCAAAGCTTCAAACATTCTAGGGAAGTGTTCTATTGCTGAGCTACATGTTCACATACTCAGTGGGTTTTTTTGTTTGTTTGTTTTAGTGTCTTTGTTTTGAGGCAAAGCATTATTTAGCTCAGGCTGGCCTTAAACCTCTGGTCCTCCTGCTTCTACTTCCCAGGGGAAGTGTGTGGCACCACAACTCCAGGGCTGTGTGTATGCTAAGGGAGCATTCCCAGTCCTCAGCCTTCTTTTCATTTTTCATTTTGAGATGGGATCTTACTAAGTTGCCCAGTTTGGCCTCAGATTTTCAACCGGAGGATTGCTTCAGCCTCCCAAGTAGCTGAAATTATAGGCCTCTATCACTACACTCAGTTTAACAAATACTTTTAACGTACTTCTCTGAATTATGTATGTGTGTGTATTTATACACAAGTGCTGGTGCCCACAGAGGCCAGAGGCATTGGACCCCCTGGAACAGCACTTACATGGAGTGTGAATTAGGCAATGTGGCTGCTGAGGACCACACATGGGTCCTCTGGAAGATTAGTGTCCACTTTTAACTACTGACCATCCCTTCAGCCCCTGCCTGGAGACTTGTAACTGAATCAGAGAGTCCATGGGGCTACCTGGCCAGCAGTGTCTAACTGATCTTCAGTGTCTCTGGGTAAGCCACACTGCCTGGGGTCCTACTGGCAGTCAAGCCATCTATTGATAACAACCGAAGCTGAATGTGCTGTATATTCTGAGTGGAGAAAGCTTGGTTCTACTGAAGGGCATCTTGGAACTGGAACAAGAACACTAAGAGGAGTTAGAACTGAAGGAGCCTACACACACACACACACACACACACACACACACACACACACACACACACACCATACTCACTGTCCCTCTCTACTGCTGTGCTCAAAATTAAAAAAAAATAAGAAGAAAAAAAGAAAAGCACCTTAAACTAAAACGAAAAAGAAGTGCTGGTGAGATGGCTTAGAGGTAAAGGCACTTACTGTCAAGTCTGAGGACCTGAGTTCAATCTCCAGAACCCACATGGTGGAAGGAGAGGACAGACTCCTGCAAGCAGCCCTCCACATGTGCACTGTGGCACACACACACACACACACACACACACACACACACACACACACACGTTGTAGAAGGGCAGTAGAAAGTACAGAGCTGTCATCAGTGCATGCTCTGCCAGCTGTGTTAGCTGCATGCCCCCGACCAAGCCTAACCCTGTGCCCTAGCTTTCCTTCTAACATGGGGACTATGAGAATTAAATTTAGTGTAAAGACTTAAACAGGTTCCTGACACTTTGAGTTTGTAACCCTCCTTGAAAAGCTTAGGTTCTCACTAGACAGGCCTGGAAATAGACATCCTTATGCTGCTTCAGGCTCTTCTGGTAGAACTGTACTTGTTCAGGCTGGGAAAAGCAATGGCTTCTGTCTTTTGCTTTCTCAAATGTGCCTTCACACTCCATCTAAACGAAGCTCTTCCAGGCTCCCACAGAAACATGGGTCTCTGTAGTTGCTTAATCTAACCTTTTACTTGGAGGAGTAATCACTGGGGGGCAGAGGGAATCCAAAAGAAATTCTGTGGAACACCCTAGTGAGACCTCTTCATGTGCTCTGAAGAGATTCATTTCAGAATTGTGTATTGAGGACCAGTTCTGAGTGGGACTCTACTGTAGGGGTTATGGGGTATAGCGGCCTGTGTGCTTACAGGGCCTATAGTATAACGGCAGAACTAGATAATAATAAAAACAAGTAATAGATAGTGTCCTGAAGGAAACAGTGGTGGCCACAGATGCAGAACGTAATGGGAAGGGAGAAAAGAAAAGCAAGGAGACATTTTCTCAGAACTGAAGAATGTGAAAGGTTCAGTCAGATGGAGTCAGGAAAGAATGCTTGGAGTAGAGGAAATAAAAAGTGCGAAGGCACCAAGATGGGAAAGAGCTAGGTCAAAGAATGAGAGGGAAGGGACGTGTGCCCTTCATGACGATGGGAGGCAGCTGGGTCAGGACTGAGGTTAGTTTTTGTTTTTTTTTTTTTTAGCTTGAATGGAATGGGAGGCTGATCTAGTCTCTACCTGACCTCGTGTGTGAGAACTCTTCTCTCCTAACTTCCCTACCAGGCCCAGCTTGCCAGAGCACTCTATGACAACACTGCAGAGTCCCCCCAGGAGCTGTCATTTCGCAGAGGGGATGTTCTACGGGTACTGCAGAGGGAGGGTGCTGGTGGACTAGATGGCTGGTGTCTTTGCTCCCTGCATGGCCAGCAGGGTATTGTGCCTGCCAACCGAGTGAAGCTCCTTCCTGCTGGTCCAGCACCCAAGCCAAGCCTCACCCCAGCAGCTCCCACCCAACCTGGCTCGTCATGTCCCACCCCAGAGCATGGCAGCGAGGAGCAGGAGGTAAGAACTGGAGCCTTTCATCATCTCAGGCCTGGCAGTCTTTGCCCTCCAGGGCCCGGGGATGGGTGTCAGGGAGGTCCTGGCTGAGACCTTGTCCTTTCACTGAGTGATGACTGATGTGTCTGCCCCTACTTCTGAGCTCAGCACAGGGAGTGTGGAGGGAGGAGGCTACAATGCCTCAGACTCCTGAAGTTGTAGCTGTGTCAATGATTTCCACCCCTGACATACCTCTTCATCCCCTAGGTGTATGTGGTACCACCACCAGCTCGACCCTGCCCTGCCTCAGGACCTGTAGCTAGATCCTGCTCACCCTCTCCTGACTCCATCTACAAGGTCCCCAGAGTCAATGGGACACAGCTAGCTGTCCCCAGAGATGTGTTAGAGGTGAGAGCTCTGTGTATGTTGGGTGAGGGCCAGAATTCTCAGGGTGGTCTACTGCTGAGCTGAAGGCTAACCCTTAGCTCTTCCTCCAGGTCTATGACGTGCCTCCCAGCATCCTCCGGACTCCCTCCAGCTGTCCTTATGACTCCCCAGCTTCCTTTTCCTGTCCTCTGGCTCCAACTGTCCCACAACCCCCGGGAGAGGGTGAAACAACCTATGATGTGCCTCTGGCCTTGAAGTCATCTGCCGAACCAGAGCCAGATCTGGAGTGGGAAGGGGGCCGGGAACCAGGGCCCCCCCTCTACGCTGCCCCTTCGAACCTAAAACGGGCTTCAGCTCTGCTCAACCTGTATGAAGCCCCCGAGGAGCTGCTGGCAAATGGGGAGAGCAGGGATCCAGATGAAGGCATCTATGATGTGCCTCTGCTGGGGCCAGAGCCACCATCTCCAGAGTCCCCAGGAGCTTCTTCCTCTGCTGACCTGGACACTGTGGCCCAGCTTCTGACCAAAAGCCCTCCACCCCAGCACAGGCCCAGGCTACCCTCCGCTGAAAGCCTGTCCCGCCGCCCTCTGCCTGCCCTGCCAGTCTCTGAGGCTCCTACCCCTTCCCCAGCTCCCTCTCCTGCCCCAGGCCGAAAGGGCAGTATCCAGGACAGGCCTCTTCCCCCTCCCCCACCCTGCCTGCCTGGTTATGGCGGCCTCAAACCCGAGGGAGATCCAGAGTGTGGGGAGGTTGACAGTGATTCAGCGGACCCTCACAATGAGTACGAAGGCATCCCGATGGCTGAGGAATATGACTATGTACACCTGAAGGTGAGATCCTGGGCAGCCCCACCAGAAGAGTCTTCCTAGCTCTCTCCCTTTCTCCTGGCCCTCTGCCCTCTAGCCTGGAACTCCAGCACTCAGCACTTGTCCAGACCACTTGAGTGAGTGCCACATCTACTCCTGATCCCAGCACAAAGTTAAACAGCTGCCATTTGCAATGCAAGGACAGCAAGTTTTGATGCTAGGAATATTTCCCCCGAAGGAGGGAGACTAGGGAGGGTCCCAGAGGCCATGAAGGCCTATAGTCTGTTCCTTTCTCTACCCTTGACACAATCCCTCTGCAGGGTGTGGATAAAGCTCAGAGTTCTAGACCCCTGGATAAAGCCTTCGCCACGGATCCCGAATTGCTGGAGAGGGAGCTGCCGGGACAGCAGGTAAACCTGGAGGGTTGTGCTAGACAAGATGGACTGGAACTTAAGGGAAAAGGCATTCCTAACCAAACCATCCGTGAGATAGGGTGGGGCAGGGCTGAGTACATGGGAGTCGAGGACAGAACAAAGAGGAGTTAGTCACCAGAAGGTGCTGGAACATGGAAGAGTTTGTTGGGAATTCAGGAAAAGAGGAAAGAATGTGCTGGAAAGAAGTCAGGTAGCTAGGAGAGCAGAAAGAATTTCTGGGCAATGAATCAAAGCTGCCAGGTGCCTTCTCTCCAACAGTGAATTCCTGTGTTCCTAAGAGACTGGCTCCTAAGCTGGGCTCCACCACTGAGCGACCTGGGGATCTATAGCAATTGCTTTATCTTTCTGGACCTTGAAAGTGAGGCAGAAGGACATACATCTCCACTCTTTTGACCTCCACATATATGCAATGGCATGTTTGCAAGACAAATACACACTCACACTGAATACATGTTATCAGGGTGCTTTTTTGTTTTGTTTTTTCTTTTTGGTGTTTTCAGACAGTATCTCACTATGTTACCTTGACTGACTTTGAACTCACAGCAGGCCTCCTGTCTCAGGGTCCCAAATCCTGGAGTTACAGGTGTGAGCAACTATGCTCAGCTCAGACTTGATTTTTGCAAAGTTGGTATGAACATAAATTGATTGATTACATATGGATGCTCTGACTTTAAACAATTGGATGTGGGTAACATTTTTACTTTTTTAATGTGGCTATTAAAAAATGTAAAACATGGCTTGTGTTATGTTTATATTAGATAGCATAGGGCTACACTCCCTGGTTTGCTTTGCTTGCTTCGGTTTGACAGACTGAAGCATGCCCACTCTGGGCTGCTCTGAAGTTGCCTGATGTTACTTGAGTCCGTATCTTCCTGTCAACTCTGGGCACTTTACTGCTGTCTCTGAGAATCTAAAGCTAAAAGGATGGCATTCAGTGAAGAACCAAGCGAGTGAGGGACAAGTTTGAAAGTGGCTTCGGTGACTTTGTCCTCACTGACCTCTTGCTCCACAGGCAGTCCTGTCCCCAGAGGAGCCACTGGTCCTGTCCACTGGAGACCTACAGCTTCTGCACTTCTACGCCGGGCAGTGCCAGAGCCACTACTCAGCTCTGCAGGCTGCTGTGGCAGCCCTCATGTCCAGTACCCAAGCCAACCAGCCGCCGTGCCTCTTTGTGCCCCATGGCAAGCGAGTGGTGGTAGCTGCTCACCGCCTGGTATTTGTTGGGGACACCCTAGGCCGGCTGGCAGCCTCTGCACCTCTCCGAGCACAGGTTGGGGCAGCAGGTACAATGCTAGGCCAGACTTTGCGGGCTACTGTGCTTGCTGTCAAGGGGGCTGCCTTAGGCTACCCATCTGGCACTGCAGTCCAAGAGATGGCACGATGTGTAGCAGAGCTGGCAGGGCAAGCCCTGCGCTTTACCACCCTGCTCACTGGCCTCCTCCCCTAAGGGCCTGTTCCAGCAGCCTTAGTCTCCCCTGCCTGCCAGAGCCCTGCTCCATGTTGAGGGTGGCTAGAGGGCTCTGCTTGAGGGAAGGAGAGGATTCTTCCCCTTTTCATCTCTTTTTGGTCATGTTAGCCACTCACCAAGGCATCTCTTCCCCCAAACCTACTGCTTTTTGTATGAGCCATTTTGTATAAATTATTTATATTTAATATTTCTTGCTTTGTCCAGGCAGGCATCAGGCCCTCTGGGGTAGGGAGGGACTGGACTCTCCTCATCATCCTGAGGTAGAGGTCGCTGTACTGCCTTCTGCCTTTGGGGGTCTGGAACACAGAAGGTCGGGTGGCTGAGACTGGGGCAAGGCAGTAATTGCCCAGAATGTTAATAGTCCGGGAAAAACTGGAGAGCCCCTCCCTTCACAGGTCAGGTAAGCTGGCCACAGGCATGGCATGTACCTCAATAAAACCTGCTGTCTGGTCCCCTGACTCTGCTTCTTGAGACCCTGAGAGGAAAGACCTGGCATCTGTCACCATTCCTGTGGAACACACAGGATGAGGGGTAATTTTGCTCCTAAAGGATCTATTTGATAGACTAGTCCTCAGCTCCTGCAATGGACAGCAAAGTTCTACAGGTACACAGTGAATGTACTCTTCCAGCAAAACTGGGATAGACATCAAGTCAATTACTGTAAGTGCACTAAAAAAAAAAAAAAAAAAAAAAAAAAAAAGGCCATGTGTCAGGATGCATACCTTAAATCCTAGCACTTGGGAGGCAGAAGCAGGTGGATCTGGATCTATGAGTTAGAGGCCAGCTTGGTGTACATTATGAGACCCTGCCTCAAATTAATTGCTGGTGATTGAGACGAATGGGTGATGAGAGACTAGATGAGCGGAGCAGTTGGGGAAGGAGATGCTAACCAGGAAGACTGGGAAGTGATGCCTGAGCTGGCACAGAATAAAAGAACTAAGAAGGGTCTGTGGCTAGTGCTTCCAGACTTCATTGTCATATGTTATTAAAGTGGCGCAGATGGGGAGAATTTGGCCACAACAGCCTCAAAAGGTCCCTCTTTCAAGAGCACCCCAAAGAGAAAAGTAACCTCAGTTTCCCATCACAGGCCAACACTAACCAACTGGAAGGTGGCTGCTGGCTGAGCTAGCTTCCTTAGGTGACTTCAGGAGAGTCCATCCCATCCAGGCTCCCATCACTTAGAGTAGCTGAGACCTTGAATGCAATGGGTTAGAAAGCCTTGGGACCTGGATGAGATGAGGGCCCATGGCTTAAATGACATTCACTCCAGCCATTAGCCACAAGAGAAGGCAGCCATCATTGTTTCTGCTTTCCCAGGAATCTGGCTCTGACTGTATCAGGGCACCTAAAATTTTATTCATCTTTGGGTCTTGACAGCCTGTGCATTTGCCTCTTCCATTTTGACCACTTTCTCATCCTACTTGAAGGAAAACATTTTCAGATATGAGAGCCAACAAATTCACCCCTATACATTGAAGGTCATTGCCATCTCCCAGGAAGGCTTTGGTGGGTTTTTGTTTGTTTTATTTTAGAGACAGGGTTTCTCTGTGTAACAATCCTAGCTGACTTTGTAGTCCAGGCTGGCTTTGAACTCACAGAGATCTGCCTGCCTCTACCTCCCAAGTGTTGGGATTAAAGGCAAGGCATGCACCACCATCGACTGGCTAAGAACCCTGAACTTAGAAAAAGAACCATCTTCAGTTCAGACCTTAGATGTGTCATGTATTTGTGTGCCTGTAAGTAAATCACCTCTCTTTTGGGTCTTGCCTTTAGCTCCTTTAGCTTTAGTATGAGGGTGTTCAAAACAGTCCTACAGGACTTTGGAAAACAGAAACATGCATAAAATTAAAGAATTATTAAGCTGGGCTATCACACATCTTTATTCCCAGCACTTGGGAAGCAAAAACAGGTGGGTTTCTGTACCTGGTCTACATAGTGAGACTATGTCTAAAAAAGGAAAAAATAAGGAATTACTGTTCCAGGATAAAGAGAAGGATGGAGACCAACTAGCCCCAGGAATTCAGACCAAGAAGCACAGTAATTCTGAAGGAGACACTAAGGGGAGATGGTCTGAGGGCACATACATTAGAGAAGAGTTTCCTGTATTTGGAGAATTTCTGAGCAGAGGAAGTAATGAGGCAATGATTCTGTGGCTTTGATGTCTTCCAATGAGGTTCAGAGGAGAAAACGATATGATTTCTTCACTGTGACTTGATAACTCCTTTCTGGACTTCTGGAGTAGAGGGTGAAGTACCTACCTGGAAAGCATTACATCTTTTCAAGGAATACAAGCCTAATTTTAATATCAATGTGCCCGGGTATCCAGTTGAAAATTATGGTTCAAAGGTCTGCATAATGCCAAGATTGTGCATTTTTAGCAATCTCCCAAGCAGTATGGATGCCGAGTTCATCAGCCACACTTTACATAGCATGGGGCTTGGGAGAGGTTTCTTTGAGGCAAAATTGCTTGTACTGACAGCCAAAGGATGAGGAAATGTTGGAGAAGCCCTAGGGCAAAAGCTGGAGCAAAAGCCCACGAAACTGGGGGAACAAAGGGCTAGCTAGCTAGGTGGTTGGAATGCAGAATGTGGCTGCAGGGAGCATGTGACCAAGCCTGTAGGCCCAGGTATGCATTGTCTACAATATTTCCCTTGGTGAGAAGTCTTTAAAGGAAGCCAAGCAGTAGAGATCCGGTCAGACCTCCCTTTGGGGGCCTGGCAAGGTGGTTCAGCATGGCAGCCTGGCAATCACCCTCTTCTCTAGAACCCATGAAAAGATGGAAGAACTCTAAAGTTAGTCTATGACCTCCAACATACACAGTGCAGCATGCACACATCACACACTATACACTAATAAATAAAAAAAAGTAAATACCTGCGGGGTTTTTGGGTTTTTGTTTGTTTGTTTTGCTTTTCAAGACAAAGTTTCTCTGTATTGCTTTGGAGCCTGTCCTGAAACTAGCTCTGTAGACCAGGCTGGTCTTGAACTCACAGAGATCTGATCTGCCTGCCTCTGCCACCCGAGCACTGGGATTAAAGGTGTGAGCAATACCTGCGTTTTGTAAAAGGTTATTCCATCTACACTTTTATTAGTAACAGATGGGGAGAAAGAAAGTGGGCTCTTAACACCAGTTGGGAACAAAGAGAAAAGTCCACCGGAATGAGAGAACTATAGAGGTCGTAACAGGTAGAATTTTGTGAGAAACTTGACATGAGTTGAAGAAGGCATTGCAAGGGCAAACACCGAACATCTGACCATAGGTGGGTGATGAGAGTGCCGTTCCTTCAAAGAGGATAGCATTAGAAGACATCCAGAGTGTGGAGGAAGGTGTCACATGATTTCTTTCTTGAGGACCGGAAGGGACATTCAAGGTTATGTGGGCTGCCAAGAGGTCGTTTCACTGACCTAGGACTCCCACAAGAGGTGGAAATAGAAAACTGGTGTGTTTGGTCCGGATCGATGGTACCCAATGCATATAGCCCAGAGGCAATGGTGAGACGAGAGAAGAAGGCAGGCATGAACTATGGTGCTGAGGAGGAGAACCATGTGACTGCCACGGAGAAAACAAGCCAGGAGAAGGTGAGACTTGACAGCCAAAGGAGGAAGTTTAGAAGAAGAGGTGGTCAACAGTGCCAAATGTTGCTGGAAAATGGTGATTCAACCAAGCTGAATGTGGGAAAACCCAGAGACCTGTGAGGACTAAAGCTAGAGAGAGACGCATAACCGATTCCTCCATCTGCATAAACCATCCTGCAATTACTGAATTACATGCCTGCTTCCCCTAGAAACCACCTCTGAGGCTATCTTGTCCACCCTTTAACCCTCCAGGTCTCACATACGGCCCGAGATACAGTAGGCACTTAATAAATTTTATTGATAAAATTAATGCGCAGGGGTGGAGGGTGGATGAATGAGTGACAGGGAAGATTGGAATGAGGAAACTTGGCGTTTGTCCCAGCTATGTACTATCCTTCATCTTTTTCTTTTTCTTTTTTTTTTTTTTAAACCACAGTGGAACCTGCAGCCCCAAGGAATGAACAACGGAGACCCCAGCCTCTACTTCCACGCAGGCCCTGGCCCCCCTTTATCTCTGACAAACAGTCTGGACCCAGGTTCTGCTGACGTGAGAAGGGGAGGAGAGTCTGGAGGAAGGGGAGGGGAAAGCAGCGCAGAGACGGTAGAGACGGAGGAGGCGCCCGCGGCTGCAGAGCTGCAGAGCGGGGTCTCTCGGCCCTCCGCGTCCCGGGCCTCCGCACGCAGCTGGGCCAGACAACAGTTCATCCTTTCGGCGCGGCCGACAGGGCCCCTGCGGTCGGCAAGCTGGCTCCCCGAGTGGCCACCGGGACCCCCGAGCCCAATGGCGGGGGCGGCGGCAAAATCGACAGCACCGTAGAGATCGCCCCCAACGCCAATGGAGTAAGTGTCTGCGCCCTGGGGGCTCTGCCGACCTCTCCCCGCCCGCGCCGTGCGCCCTGCTTCCCCCCGCGTCCCCGCATGCCCACGGCCCCCCCCAGCCTCACCTTCTCTCCCCCACCCCTCGCCGCAGCAGGTCGGGAGCCTCGGAGATGCGGTGCCCCCCGAGCAGCTGCAGGGTGAGCGGGAGCGCCGGAGGGAGGGGGAGGGCGACGCGCTGGGCAGCAGCCTGTCGCTGGCCGCGCCCCCAGGCCCCCTCAGCTTCGAGGCTCTGCTCGCCCAGGTGGGGGCGCTGGGTGGCGGCCAGCAGCTGCAGCTCGGCCTGTGCTGCCTACCCGTGCTCTTCGTGGCGCTGGGCATGGCCTCAGACCCTATATTCACGCTGGCGCCCCCGCTGCACTGCCACTACGGCGCCTTGCCCCCCAACGCTTCGGGCTGGGAACAGCCCCCCAACGCCAGCGGCGTCAGTGTCGCCGGAGCGGCCCTGGCAGCCAGCGCCGCCAGTCGAGTCGTCACCAGTACTGACCCCTCGTGTAGTGGCTTCGCCCCGCCGGACTTCAACCATTGCCTGAAGGATTGGGACTATAATGGGCTACCAGTGCTAACCACCAATGCCATCGGCCAGGTGAGACAGCCGGGCGGGATGTGGAGTGGGAGCGGACCAGGGCAGCGAGGACCCAGCCTTATGCTGCTGCATCCCTCTCATGTCCCCAGTGGGATCTCGTGTGTGACCTGGGCTGGCAGGTGATCCTGGAGCAGATCCTCTTCATCTTGGGCTTTGCCTCCGGCTACCTGTTCCTAGGTTACCCCGCTGACAGGTGAGGACTTTTGTGGGGGCAGGGCTGATAGAAAAGAGGCAGAGCTAGCCGAAGCAGCTGGATTTGCAAGTGGACGAGGATGGTTCCATTAGCTGTAGTCCACTGTCTCCTCTGGACTACTGTTTAACCAACCATCTATCTCAGTCTCAGGTTCATCCCCCATCAAGACATACACCTTCTATATCCACTTTCACACAAGGAAATGACCTCACATTCGTGTACCCCAGCCTCATCTCCAAAGTTAAAAATCAGTTCCTCAACCAAAACCTTGTCTCCACATTTGGTGTTCCATCTCCCCTTCGAGGCCCTTATAATCCCAGCCACCTTCCTTTCGGTTGTCGTGGATTGACAGATTCATCTCTATCAGCTAATAGACTACCCAGACTGTTAGCCCATCTCAGTGGCCGTGTTCCTAAAACTTAATAATTCCTCAATATCAACAGCCCCATTCCCCATCGATCAATAATTCAACTTTACAAACATGACCTCATCTCTGACCAGTGGCCCATCTCCTACAGTTATTAGCTATCTACACAAGTAACTCTCTGGAGTAAATCATACTTCCATGCCTGCCACCCAATGCCTCTGCTCTGTGGATCACCAACTCTGAGAGCCTCACAGACCAACAGTCCTAGCTTCATGGTTGCCCAGCCTCTTGGACCAAACCTCATATTTCCATGAATCAGTGGTGTCAACTCCAAAGGTGACAATTCATCTGGCTAACTAGTTACTCTGGGTAGATCCAAATCCCTATCTCCTCTGCTTTTGAAAACCAGGATCACTGACCATCAACTTGTGATCTACAGCTCCACCTACGTGACTAATGGTTCAAAGGCATTAATGGTCAGGTTCCTTAAAACCAATAGCCGACCTCCTTGCTTAATAATTACATATATCTGTGAACCAATGATCCTTTACCCACAGAGTAGTAGCTCATCTCCAGGCATCAGTTTCCACATGCCAGTAACCATATTCCTGTGGGATAATGGCTTCACTCCCAATGATGGATAAGTTGAAGTCAGAGGCCTTAGCCATATGGATCACATCAGTTCATCCTTATGAAAAATAGCCCCAACTTACCACGTTAATTGCCATATTCTAAGGCATCAATGCTTCCCCTCTATCAAGGACTATTGACCCTGTCTTCATCTCCCATAGAGTACTCATCTCCCAACAGTCAGTAACTAAGTTCCTAAAGATCAGTGGCCCTGTCCTTGCTTGGGATTAGTGACCATCACCAGTTACCAGTAGCTCATCTCTCTATCCTTGATGTCATTTTCATAGATTAATCTGTTTGTTCCATTGGCACCCACCCACCCTCAATTGTTCTATCACTAGAGATCAATTCTCCAGTCTCCAAAAATAAGTATTACTAGTAGTATTGTGATCCCATGGATTAGTAGACTCATTCCCCTGAACAGTAGCTCCATGTCCTGACCAGTGACCCATCCCACTGCCTACCCATATGTGTAAAGAGACCCAAGCCCCAACTTTATCAAACAGTGGTCTCATCCCCAAAGGACAACAGCTGTATCACCACTGATGAATAAATAACCACTTGCAGTCCATCTGGCCAATGGTTACCCACAGATCCGGAGCTCCTACTTTATAGGTCAGTGACTGAGCAAGACAAGACCTCTGACCAATACCTCTACCAACAAGGATGAAGGTCCCAACTCTCCTAAACAGGATTTAATTCTCTACCCTCAGGGTTGATCTCACATCCATGGTTAAAGCCCTACTTTCTAACTGATATCCCTGTCTCCAAGGGTCATTTGTCCCCTTCCGATAAAACCATAGCCGTACCCCATTGCCCAGTAGTCAGACATCTTGTATACACAACCCCCACCCCTACCCCCTGACATCTTTTTTTTTTTCCCCCTTTCAATTTTAGACAGGGTCTGTCTGTGTAGTAGTCTTGACTGTCTTAGAACTCCTGAGGGTGGCCTCAAAATCTGCCTACCCCTGCCTCCCAAGTGCTGGGATTACAGGCAAGCACCACCACACCACTCTGCCATCTTTTCTGTCTTCGGTACAACTCTTGCTCCCTGAACCTCATCCTTTTACCAGCTTTGAGTAGGCAGCTAGTGCTCACCCAGTACCTCCTCCATCAGGGAGTCTGAGTGGCCAGAAGCCCTCCCTACTTTCCAGGTTTGGCCGTCGTGGGATTGTGCTGCTGACCTTGGGGCTTGTGGGGCCCTGTGGAGTGGGAGGAGCTGCTGCAGGTTCCTCCACGGGCATCATGGCTCTCCGATTCCTCCTGGGCTTCCTGCTAGCTGGTGTTGACCTTGGTGTCTATCTGATGCGTAAGTTGGACCCTGCCAGAGACCTCTGTCTTGGGTCTCATGTCTTCCTTTCTATATTTCCAGGCCATTTCCACTGCCCCTAGGTCCCAAATGTCAGCTGTCCAGAATGTCAGCTGTCTTTCTGCCCTGGCTTTTTAGAGTCCAGGCAAAGGGTCCTCCCTTTGAAGCCCTGACCTGACCTTACTTCTGTTAGAGAATAGACCCACGCTTTAAAAATGAAATATTGGCCACATATGGCAGCATACAGCTGTAATTCCAGTACTTGGGCAGCTGTAGCAAAAAAAAAAAAAAAAAATGTTGTGAGTTCAAGTGTGGCATGGGCTACATTGTGAGTCCTTGTCTCAAACCCCACCCTAAATGAAATCCTAAGAAGCTTATTTGACCTTGTACAAAGGTCAATATGAAGGTCAAATAGAAGGAATGTGAGAGGACCTGTAAACTAGGAATGCCGAGCACCCAGATGGCTCTGATCCTAAAGACCAGCTAGGTTTCAGGAGATGGGTGTAGGTTCTTGCTTTTTGCCACCCAGAGGTTAATCTGTGGGAGGTGATGGCTGCAGCCTCTGCTGAGGGCCTGACCTGGCTTTCTGTCCTTTCCTCCATCCCTTCCTCTCTCCTCTTCTCTCTCACACCTCCTTCTTCCCTGGCCTCTCCTCCCTTCATCCCTGCTGTATCTCCAGGCCTGGAGCTGTGCGACCCAACCCAGAGGCTACGGGTGGCCCTGGCAGGGGAGTTGGTAGGGGTGGGAGGGCACTTCCTGTTCCTGGGCCTGGCCCTTGTCTCTAAGGACTGGCGATTTCTGCAGCGAATGATCACCGCTCCTTGCATCCTCTTCCTGTTTTATGGGTCAGTATCACCCTTAATCTGTGCCTGCTTCTTCCCATCTTTACCTCCAGCATAGTCCTTAGTCCCCGCCAACTGCCCAGTTCCTCAGAGGTGGTAGTTTCCCATCCCTGGGTCCAGAGAAAGAAGGCTTTGCCGTACATTCTGCCACCCTGCCCCGTAGCTGGCCTGGTCTGTTTCTGGAGTCTGCACGGTGGCTGATAGTAAAGCGGCAGATTGAGGAGGCCCAGTCTGTGCTGAGGATCCTGGCTGAGCGAAACCGGCCCCATGGGCAGATGCTGGGAGAAGAGGCCCAGGAAGCCTTACAGGGTAAGAAGCGAGGGGTCCCTACATGTGATGACCTTTGTGTGGTTGTAGCTGTGCCCCTCCAGCCTGAGAGATCCCGGGGTCTCAGCTGTCTCTGATCTTCCTGTCTTTTTCCTGAAGAACTGGAGAACACCTGCCCCCTCCCTGCAACATCAGCTTTCTCCTTCGCCACCCTCCTCAACTACCGCAACATCTGGAAAAATCTGCTTATCCTGGGCTTCACCAAGTGAGCCTGGCTGTCTGAGCTGAGGGCCAGGCCAGTAGCTGGGATAGGGGCTGGTTGGGTGGAGGATGTAGCTGGGGGAGCGTAGATGGGGATTCAGACGCTGTTCTTTGTTCCCTACTTGTGGCACAGCTTCATCGCCCACGCCATTCGCCACTGCTATCAGCCTGTGGGAGGAGGAGGGAGCCCATCAGACTTCTACTTGTGCTCTCTGCTGGCCAGTGGCACAGCGGCCCTGGCCTGCGTCTTCCTGGGGGTCACCGTGGACCGTTTTGGCCGCCAGGGCATCTTGCTCCTCTCAATGACTCTCACGGGCATTGCATCCCTGGTCCTGCTGGGCCTGTGGGATTGTGAGTATCTTCTCTTCTCCACATGTGGGAATCCCACAGTTGGGGAACCCCAACAAAGGTGTCCCAGAAAGGCCTAGCAACACATCCAACATAGGCCTTCCAGGACTCAGACCACTGTCCTTGTGTGTCAACTTGTCTGTTCCTCCATTCCATACCTGAGTGCCCAGAACCCAAACAGCGTGGGCCAGAGGAGTTGAGAGCCAAGAGGATGGCATCAGGGCCCTGGCCAGGCGTATGCTCCTCACCTCCATTCATATCATCTCTTTTGGTTCCCCAGATCTGAATGATGCTGCCATCACCACTTTCTCTGTCCTTGGGCTCTTCTCCTCGCAAGCTTCTGCCATCCTCAGTACTCTCCTTGCTGCTGAAGTCATCCCAA